TACATATGAAAGAGTAAAAATACGTGTATCAAATTTCATATCAAATAACCACATTGTTCCATACATCATTAAAAATATTATACTAATATAACTATGTGATAAAACTGTTTCAATACAAGTACACATCATAAATAGAGTAGTTTTAATTATTTCACGTCTAAATTACATTAATATTTATTTTATATGTAAATTATAGAATGATATATTTACGTTCTTATATGACAAATTTTTCTTTCGAATGCTGATTCCCAACAATACATTTTTACAATTCGCATTGATTTAATAATTTCAGACATAATTTTCACACGTTCATCAGTTATTTTTAAAACTTCAGTACTAGAAATCATGAAATTTGATCATTCAAATGATCATCATATAAAGATTAAAAAGACAAACCGTAAACGAAGAAATAGACGACTGAGTAATGGTTGAATTAATAAGAGAACTAACGTATATCCAATAGCAATAAAAGTAATATATTTAATAAAATGCCACAATAGAAAAATAACTACAATGATTTGTAGTGGAGCGACCTACAAGAAAAAAATCATACTACTCAATATTTGATTCATATTGTTGCTCATAAAAATAATGTAATCATTCATTTCAGGTTCTCTTAACAACATACCCATAAATAATTCAAAAAGTAATGAACCAATTCTACTTTATTGGCATCATTTGCTAATAAATTTGTAATTTCACCAGAACTGAAATTATTCATTGTATGACTTGATAAACGAAGTACCTTTTTTTAAAAAGAATAATTAAAACTATATTATCAATTATTTTTCATATCACTTTTTGAAAGATTAAACCACTGTAAGCTAATCTCATTTGTACACCACATATAACAACACGATAAACGTACTACAAAAACTCGAGAATGATCTATAGATATAAATGACATTAATGAAATCGATACTACTTGATGAAAGATAAGATTTATACATAATAGTACCATAATAACAGCCAAAGCTGCTAACCAAGCTTGCCAAAAAAACATTGTTGAACATGGTTCGAAAAACTTCATGAAATAGATGAGTAATAATGGTTGGACAATATTTAATGATTCCTATTAAAACAAAAAAAAGAATTCAATTCTAAATCAATAATAAATCGATCAAAATAAATTCAAATTCGATTATCTTTACTCACAAGAGGAATTAGTAAAAGACCGAAAAGTATTAATTTCCATCCCATAGTACGTAATGTAGCTCGAAGTAAATTCGGATTTTGTGGACATCGTTTTATTTCATCGAACCAATTTGCTTCTAACTTATTGGTCAATGGTGTTGATTTAAGAAAATCAGGAAGATTATAAACATCATCAAGGTGAAGTGTCCCTTGTTTGTGACTTTTCGTAATTAAAGAAGACAGCCAACTATACAACAAAATAAAAAGATGCTAATGATCAAAAACAAAATGATAAAATACTATGTACTTACCAATGAAAAAAGCGTGAAAAGATATTCGCTTGTAATAAAGGATTGGGATTGTTTGAAGATGATGACATCTATATCAAGGTTATGTCTGTCTCTTATTTGATTATTGCGTCGTACTTGCTCTCCTATCAAGTATGGTCGTATTTTGTTCTCTCACACGTACAATACAAAATAATTTTGCAATTTAAAAAACGTGAATGATAAGTCGATAGAATATATTTTTTTGTGACCTTGTTTTTTATCTGTGATACTGATAGGTTGAGAAATAAAAATGAGTATCATTGCATCAGACCTTCAAATATCATGCAATGTTAATTTTGAAACTAGATTTAATTCGATTCAATCTTGTAGAAGTGAGTCATGATTGCAACATGTTGAATCATCGATATGCGTATGAAATTCTTATATATCCTCATTTATCAAATATAATTAATAATGCAATCGATTATATTGATTGAATAGATGATATCATATAAAAATATATTGCATCGACATGTAATTCCTATTTTTGTTCGAAAAGCAAGTATCATGTTTTCTTAGTCAAATACTATGTCACTATTAAAAGCCACTTGATAATCAGCTCTTCTTATACATATACCAACAAAATAACTATGATTGCTTATATGAACTGTTTAAATAATGCAGTGAACATGTTTAGAACTTAATAATTTCTATTGGCTAATGAATAGGATCAAGAAATATTCACTCAGATTAATTTTTTGTCTTTCCATTGTTGTTATTGTAAGTTCTTCATACAAGAAAAACATTATGCAAGACAGAAGAAAAGGAAACTATAATTCATGACACGATTTTCATATTCACATGATATATGATCTAATACACAAACATCCGATACTATATTATACAAAAGGTAATGAGCTGAAAAATACCACAATCTTCATGAATTTTTGTTGAATATGTCACCT